GTCTGCTAAATAAAATAGGAAAATTTCAGCAAGAAAGTTCTTCTGTGGGCATGGAAATTTGGATCACTTACATTCTTTTTATCAGAATGGCAACTTTATTTTGCCTTCAAAAGATTACTCTGTTGAAAGCATCTTGCTGTGACTTTGTCAGTTGGTGATAATGTGGGCCTTGGCTGTTCAAGGACAGGATTTGAAATAGCTGTAATATCATTGGTAGTAGAAACTAGCTGTGCTTGGAAACTTATTTACTTTTGACCATTTATAATGAGTAACTGGTGTTGAACCCTGTAAGCTTGGAAAAAATCAGGTTCTAGGAAGAAAACATCAATACCTGTTTAGTTAAATATCTGAACATTAATGAATGAATTTTCAATTCTGTTGGTCAAGCTGTTTTTGAAATCACGTGATCTTTATTTTCCTTCAAACTAGTTTCTTCACTGGATGCATATTTAAAGTCAGTTTCCATAGTGACATCTGGTGGTGGTTTTGAAAGCCCAGAGAATATGTTTGGAATGATAAATATTTTTACTTGCTGGTTCCAGATTTCTGGCTTTTTTTTTCAGATTGCTCGGTTTATTAACAATCTTTCTGAAAATGTCTTCATTGTAGTCTAGAAATTCGAAAGCATTTGTTACTTCTGTAATGCTTCATTAAAGTAAATACCCAGTTACACTGCTGGGCAATGCATGTAACAAGCATGTCTGAACTTGTCTTCTGCACTCTCGATGTCCATCTTAGCAAGTTTTCCTGGTCATACTGTGTATGCCCCGTAGCCTCAAGAATAGGAGTAGTGGTTTCCTCGTTATCCTCTGTTCTTGCTGACAGGAGGGAATTCTCTGGAAGTCCTGGGCTGCTGCTTCCTTGTATCTGTCCTCTAGTTGGCTTATTGTGATTTCCATCTAAAAAGGTGAAAGCCTGAGCTAAGTATGGTGATCCATACCCGGAAACAGGGGAGAGCTGAGAAAAAGAGCTATTTGATGACAGGAGGCAAACCCTGAAAAAGAGTTTGAAGATGAAGTTTCATTTTGATCATGTATTAAAGAAAAGTATCTGTAAAAAATTATAGTTCTTATTAGTTCTTTATTTTTCCCAGGAAGAGTGAGTTTGTAACCCATTATTCAAAAAAGTTATGAATAAGTCAACAACTGAAACTGGTTCATGATCTTGGGTCAAGTGATGGCTATGATGAATAAAAGAAAGTAGAAAAGAGTATTTGTTCAAGTTACAAACAGAATTTTACTAATTTAGTAAGTTATTGAATGTGTATGTTATATTTGAGTTAAAAGGCAAAGAGGGAACATTTTAAAATATTTTATTTATTATTTTTATTTTATGTGTATGAGTGTATTGCCTGCATGCATGTTTTAAGTGCACCCATGTTGTGCAATGCCCATGGATTCTGGAAGAGGGCATCAGATCCCCTGGAACTGGAGTTATGGATAGTTGTTAGCTGTCATGTAGGTGCTGGGAATTGAACCTGGGTCATCTGCAAGAACAGTTAGTGCTCTTAACCATTGAGCCATCTCTCCAGCCCCAAGAGGAAACATTTTAATGTAGCATGAATTGTGGGTCTTAAGCGGCCATAAGCTTTCAGATTGAGGCAGTCCATCTTCCATTCAGTTATTAACTCACAGAGAAGAAAGTGTAGGGCCTTGAGTGTCAGAGTCACACCCAGCAGTGGCTTGAAGGCTTCAGTTTTATTTTTGTTTTTCCTTGTGTAATTAGAAGTCTTTATAAAGGAAACTTGAAAATTTGTTTCTATTGAATTAGAAGTAAATGCTGGATTTGCAGATGAGATGTATTCATGATCTGTAAGTACTTAGGAGATACTGGTGAACTGGTGAGGAAGTTTGGGAAGAAGGGTTGAGTGATTTGAGGAATGGACAGTATTTCTAGTCAGACTTCTAGATGACTAGCATGCTAGTCAATTAGAAATGAAGCATTTGTAAAGGACGGACTAGACTCTTTTCAGTTCTTGATTTTAGTGAGGGGCGGTATGCATCAGTTTAAGTTCTACTCACTATACAGTCCAGGACTTGGTATTATAGGGAAGGTGGGCATCTCAGTCCTTAATGGTAGGTAGTCTTTTCAGTGCCAGTTGACACATTCCTATTTTTCTTTCATATCAGCAGAACCACCATGTCTCCTTTTCAATCTTTAGTTATATCCAGTGATCACCCTCCTTTTGGTGGTTAGGAGTTCACGTTCAGAGGAACATGGCCCTGTTGCCCAGTTGATTGGGGGAGAGAGGCAGTTCCCAGCAAAAGGCTACAAGTCTGGACACCAAGATGAGATTAGAAAAGTCTCATGAAGGAAGATAAACAGTTTGCTATCATTGTAAACCTTGTAACATGCTGGCATTTTTAATATTCTTTTACCTTCAGACTAGCGAAAGCTGTTGTATAGGAACAAAAATATATTATCTTTCATCTGAATAGCAACATTAAAAATGCATAGAAAATAAAGCTTGTCTTGTTTTTCTGTCACATGAAGCTCTGCTTATCCCCTGTTGTCATGTTCACAGTAGCGCTGACCGGGAATTTTGCTGGCGCTGAGTCCAGTGAACACTGCCCTTTACTGTGGCTCTGGGAAAGTTCCTCATCTCTTTGAGTTTTTCATTATGAAAATAGCACCACGCATACAGGCAGATTAGGAATAAAGAAAAAGCAGGATGGTGTAGGATCTCTATCAGGATGTCTGTTGTATAGTAAACCCTGAGTAAGTTGTTTCTGTAATTGTTAATGCTTTATGTGCTTGTAATCACATTTAGAGGACTGCGATAAAAACATGGATAGCAGCATGAAATGTTTGGTGGTTTGAAGTTAGAGGCAGGGACGAAATTTCCATGTGCCTGTCTGCCTGAAATGTTCTAATATTACTCACTTGTCCAATGAGTTGAATTGCATTTTAATGAGGCGGCAGCGAGGAAGAGAAGCAGGTGTTTTCATTTTGTGATTATGCGCTCAGTGTTGGCAAAACAGTCCCTATCCCAACTTCCTTTGGGTCAAGTGATAGCCATAATGACTAAGATACAATAGAAAAGATCATTTGTTCAAGTTGTGAAAAGATAAAGTTTACTAATTTAGCGTATTATTGAATATGTGTAGATGATGTCTGCGTGGGGGGCAGAGAGGAGACATTTTAATGTACCATCAGTTGCAGGGCCTAAGGGACTTGTAAAGTCATCTTGAGATAGTTCATTTTATATTTTGTTATTCACTCTTCTCTGTATTCTTTTATATTACCCTCAAATAAGCAAGTTCTTAAATTTAAATAATGATCTTAAATCCAAGTGCATGGTGACTATATAATTAACAATGTAGTGTGTCTGAAAAATTGCTAAGATTATTAAGTATTCTTACCACAAAAAACTATGGTAACTGTATCAGGTAATGCATGCATTGATTAGCTAGATTGAGCCATTCCATAGTCTGTCTATCCATATTCCAGGACTTCATATTACATACAGTTAAAAGTTTGATAATTTAAAGACAAAATATAGATTTGGGGTTGTGATGATACTGTTTTATTATAGCTGAACATGGATGAATTAGATCTTTGTTATTGTTCTTGTATTTTGTGTTGAATGGGAAAGGTTAGTAATCTAGAGTTGGAGGATTTCCGAAGTCCAGTTTGACCATGGTATTGAACACTGAAAGTGACATCAATTCAGAATAAGCAATCTAGGGAAGAAAACATACAGTGATGCATTTTGGGAACCCAAAGGCAAAATTATGCTGTTAAATGAAAGGCAGAGTTTGCCTAAGAGGAGTTGATATTTCTACTTCTGATCATTTTGGGGGGACAGAATTAATCCTGGAACTAAAGTTTTACTAGATTTCATGAATGAGCCCAGGCAATATAGATACTCTTCACTCTTCTTGGTAGTCATGATTCCTTTCTTGCAAGTTCATTCAATGGAAAAAAAAAAAAAGTCCCGAGATTCCATATTCCAATCCCAGCCGAGTTATTTATGCACTTTACATGTTCAGCAAATAGTTGTGTTTTGCATGAAGTGTGGAAGTATATACACTTTTGTAGTTTATAATATAACTAGGATAATATATGTTTTTATTACATATTGATTGTCTCTTTGTTAAAGATGGTTAAAACAAGTGCTAAGAACCTTAGTGTATGAGACCTAAACAATCTCTGGACTTTCAGATTTCTTGTTTTGCTTTTTAACAATTTTAAAAGGCTTGTGCAACCAGACTAAGACATCTAGAGGAGTGTTCCTCCTGGCCTGTGTCCCTATACTGTGGTGTGGGGAGTGGGGACTTTAGACTACAGATGTGGAGCTGGGCCCTGGGTATAGTTCATAATTCTGTCTTTGGCTTCTTGATTAATCTCTGTGAGAGTCAGCACATCTCAACTAATCTTCAGTGTCATCTTTGGAAATATTCATATTAGACCATGAGATGATTGCTTAGTGCCCATTTCGTAGGGTTCTTTTCAGACTTAGATAATAGGTCTTTTAAAAGTAATCCATGCTGGGGCTGGAGAGATGGCTCAGTGGTTAAGAGCACTGACTCCTTTTGTAGAGGACCTGGGTTCAAGTCCCAGCACTCACATGGTGGCTAACAACCATTTATAATTCCAGTTCCAGGAGATCAGATGCCCTCTTCTGACCTCCATGGGCATTGTGTGACACAGGTGCACTTATACACATGCAGGCAGTACGCTCATGCAATAAAATAAAAATAAATAAAAACCTAAAGCATGGTCCATGTCTAGTAACTATAAATACTTTCACAGTCTACATCATATGCTACCTGTTGTAATCATTACATACATATTCATTTAATCAACCTACAAGGAACATGCTATTATGTCCATTCTCTAGGAAGGGAAACTGAGGCACAGAGTTCAGATTACACGGAAGCTCATGCAGTTAGAGGCAGAGAAGTCATTGGTAACTTAGTCATTCTTGGGCACACACTTCTCAAGGTGGCATTTTCTTCTTGTTAACATGCTGCTGTGTGGTTTTCTTTCTTCTCTAGGTGTTATAGAGACTTCAGATCGACTAGATCGAGAATCAACCTCCCACTACTGGCTCACCGTCTATGCAACGGATCAGGGTGTTGTGCCCCTGTCAGCCTTCATAGAGGTCTACATAGAAGTTGAGGATGTCAATGACAATGCACCCCAGACTTCAGAGCCTGTTTATTATCCAGAAATAATGGAAAATTCACCCAAGGATGTATCTGTGGTCCAGATTGAGGCATTTGACCCCGATTCTAGCTCTAATGACAAACTGACATACAAAATTACAAGTGGAAATCCACAAGGATTCTTCTCAATACATCCTAAAACAGGTATGTTAATACTACGAAACCTGTGTCTGATTACACTGTATGGATACAGGAGATTAAGAGCTAGCATTTCTCTGTTGCAAGATTTTCTTGGTTTGGGTACTTCCCTTTCTTTTCGACTCACAGAACAAGAGTTTATTTTTAAATAAATATTTAGTGCAAATCTGTTTTTTCCATCTTTGCGCTTTCTACTATAAAGCTATGTTTTTTATTTTGCACTATAGAAAATTTCCACATTTAGGTTAGAAAGCAACCACCATTTCTTTCAATAGTAGTTCAGTAAGTGATATGATAAACTTACAGCAACTTTTGCTATGAAGCTTTTGCTACTAAGTATCTGAATTTTGATAATTCTGCTTTTTGTGAAGAATATTGGAGTTTATTCCACAATTTACTACTTTGTAAGAACTGTTCTAAATACTTCCCATAGAACAATGCTGTACCTCTAGGTAACAGAATCTGTGCTAAACCATTTTCAGACTGGAAATGTTACTTTCATGAACTGATGATACCAAAGCCTTTTTCTTCCTTTTTCTCCTCCCAGTCTGTGGACCCCCCCGCCCCAGGGGTTGGAGAGATGGCTCAGTGGTTAGGAGCGCTTGCTGCTCTTGCAGAAGACCCGAGTTCCGTTCCCAGGACTCATGTCAGGTTGGGCAGCTCATAACTGCCTCTAAGTCCAGGTCCAGGGAATCCTATGCCTCTGACCTCCATGGGTACATACCCATACTCAGGTGCGCATACCCATGTACAGACACACACACAGACATAATTTTAAAGTCTGTGACCCTCTGCTTTTGAGAACATTGTTCTGTGACCAGCAATCTTCCATAATCCCTGTGAGCTTTTAATCTCTGCCCTTTCACATTTGACAATGTATGTTATTTTTTCTTAGTTTTTAGGCTTCTGTGATTCTGTTTCAAAGAAAAGATCAATGCAGTTATCATTTGCAGAGTAAACACCTAGATCTCATTTATGTAGTGAAAGCCTCACATGTTGAGTGTAGAACACTTCCATTGATCTATCAGTCAGTTAGAATAACAGCGACTATATGACATTGAGAAGAAAGATTTTGTGTAGGAAACTAAAACAGCTTAGCCTATTGATTACTGGCCTTAAAGTAGTGTGTGTTTATTCCGTACTCGCTGGTAGAATCTGATGAGCCAGAAATTCTAAAGAGTAAGGTTTACTTAGTAATTCATATACCTCTCTTTCTTTGTCTTGTCCTTCCTTATTCTGGGGGAATTGGCCTGTTCACTTTCTGGAGTGTAAATAAAAATTGACTTTAATCTTTGTTATCAGGTCCCCATCCCCCATCATTTTCCCTTCCTACTTCTTTAATTGAATTAAAAAAACAATCAATTGAGAAGAAGGCTGAGTTCATGGAAGAAAATGCCCATATTTATATAACCATGTAGGGCATGAAAATATGCAGCCCATTGTCTGAGTGAGTTTAAGGGCTGTGATATGGCTCAGTGGCCAAGCATTTGCCTAGCATTTTTGAAGCCCTGAGTTCCATCCCCAGCACAGATATGTCTGTGTTTATTTTTATTTCTTTGGTTTCTTTGAGACAGGGTCTTTCTATAGTCCCAGTTGGCCTGGGACTCAGTATGTACACCAGATTGCCCTTGATCTTACAGAGATCCCCTTGCCTCTCCCTCCTGAGTGTTGGGACTAATGGTGTGTGCCAGCATGCCTGGCTATATATGTATGTTCTTAAATTATTAATTTGTAAAGCTCTTCCAAGCATATTATCAAGGGAGAAATGGGGAAAATGGGGATACTAATATTTCAACCTAACATTTATAAAGGGAATCTTTTTTGTTAAGTAAGCATGAATTCAAGAATTGTTTTGAGTGTTTTATCAATAAAACTTTTTGTTTGGGGGCATTTCTACTTTAGCCTTTTGGACAGATTCTGATACGGTTTGGATTCTTAGAAAATGAACAATTGTTCAGCTGATTGAACCTTGAAGAATTTCAATAGATAGAAGAGAAATTTATAGGATCTTAGAGTGTTTTCTTTGGGAGAACATTGAAGGTAGATGGTGGGCTCAGCCTATGAAATGGGCTAGAGTCATGATGGAAGACAGGCTTGAGACAGCCTCTATATGATTAGTAAAAGGCCTGTTTTGTAGTATGCTGTATAGTGCTTTTCTATATAGATAAGAATTAAGTTCTACTGTTTTTGTGAAGTAAAATGAAAGAACTAAGAGCCAGAAAACCCAGAACACATTATCAAGCATAAAAGAAGAAATTTACAAGTTTTAAAGAATTATTTTGGAATCCAGATAGCATGCCTGAATGGAAAGGGTGGTCATAGCCTTGAAAGAGAGGGAGCTCTATAGAGGTAAAAGCCTTGACGCAATAACTTAAGAATGTGTAACTAGCTCTATCTTAAAATTGTTTGATGAGTTGGTCTTTAGAAATGTTTCCATCTTAATGTCTTCAATCCATTTTTAAAGATTAGATTAAGTCCCTATATGAAAAGACAGAAAAGCAAGCAATAAATGTCCTTTTGATTATCTGAGCAAATGCTGTAAGTCTGGGCATAATTAATAGGAGAAAAAGTTAAAGTTGTACAAGTTAGGTCTCTGAAATAATGAAGTCAGTGAGGAGTGGTATGTCTCCAGAGCCCTTTGAGTCTGTCCACTGTGACAGCACTTAGGATATGCTGACTGCAGAGTGCTGTGCTCTCCCTTATCTTGGGCAGTAACACACACCAGCTAGGCACTGAGGCCTGCTCTCACCCTGGGTGAGAAGCACATGCATCTTCCTGGAGACTCTGCAGGAGAAAACTCGTCACTCCACACAGAGGTTTTGTATTTTTATGATGTGCAGGCAGCTAGTAATGAAAGATACTGGAGTGCACGGGAACGTCTGCTGTGAAGTGTAGTACAAGGTGTGTGGTTAGCAAAGAAATTGCCATGGTTTAGCAAATGTTGTTTAGAAAAATACAATAAACGCAGCATCATGAGCTCTGTCTCTAATAGTTCTGCTCTCCCAACTCAGCAGAAAATCTAGGCATGAGCCTCGGGGGCAGAAGTATATTAAGAGAAGGCTATGTCCTCCTAAAACCTTCATTTCAAGCAGACATATTTTTAAGAGGTAGTTTGGTCAAATGGGGGTTGTATTGTGGGAGCTGGTAAAAGATAGTCTGGCAGAAGAAAGAAAACTCTTGTGATTTACTGACCCGGAACACCACCTGGAGACGTTAAATCAGGATCCTTAATAATTAACAACTGAGTGAGAAAATCACTGGGCTGGAAATCCAAGGATGTGGGCCATAGTTATTCTTTCCCTCTGGGATCTTGGGGGAAACAGACTTTAGGACCTTGGGATTTAGGTTAGTCCTTGTGGGGTTCTCAGAATACTTTACAGAAAAGGTACTCAGCTTCTTTATCTTGCATGTGTTATAGCTGCTCATTTAATGTAGATTTTAGTGACTTAGTAAAGTTGTGTGTTTCTTTTGGATAAACAAATTTAGCAGAATGAAATGTGCATTTGCTTCTCAGTGTCAAAGATAAATTTGGGATCTGGGTGATTATCATGTATTTATCACATATCTAGCAGACTACAGAAAACCTAATCTCAGGGCTGGAGAGATGGCTCAGAGGTTACGAACACTGATTGGTCTTGCAGAAAACCTGAGTTCGAATCCCAGCACCCATGTGGCAGCTAAAACTGTCCATAACTCCAGTTCCAGGGGATTCGAGAGCCTCTTGCAGAAAACCTGAGTTCGAATCCCAGCACCCGTGTGTCAGCTAAAACTGTCCATAACTCCAGTTCCAGGGGATCTGAGAGCCTCTTCTGTCCTCTGTGGGCATTGCACGATATGGGTACACTTACTTACATGCAGGAAATACATGCATACACATAAAATAAAAATAATAAACTTTTTTTTAAAAAAAAGAAAACCTAATCTCATCAGCAGTCCCAGGGTGGGTTTGGATGTGAAGTTTTCTGAGCGTCTTCTGAAGCTATAGCACCTTGAGTGAGACTTTGCAAGTGTGTCGTCTGCAGATACGTAAAAGCAGCAGAAAGGGCTGGTGCAAGACAGTCTTGGCACAGGCTGTGATGAATGTGTTTGGATGAGATGGGAACAGACTGGCGGTGTGGGAGTGACTAGGAAATAAATAATCGAAACCCTTTGGGAAAGCTATTGGGGTAGTTACAAAGGTTGGAGAGGTAGATTGATGGGAGGAGGTAGAGGATGGCTATCATCTTGGGGAAGTTCTTTATTGAGTGGTTAGAGACCAAGAGAGGAAGTTAGGTGAGCGTTTGCTATACATCTGGGGACAAAGACGGTGTTTGTGTTGGCTTTGTGAATGAGGACTTATTTTCCAGAGTCCATATGAAGTCCCTTGGAACATTTTGCATACATTTAAATGAACTTTCTAATAACTACTAATCATTCTGGAAGTGAAGAAAATATCTCAATACCTTTTTCCCCCTTTTGTCATACATTAGAATTTTTTTAAAAAAATAACTTCTAGAACTGGGCTCAGTAATTTTCTGATTTTTTTTTTTTTTTGGTCTCCAAATGACAAGCTTTAATGAAGTTTAGTGTCTTAGAGGTGTAATTTTGGTGCCAGGGCCTGTCTTTCCATATCTCAAACAGTTCTTGGTACACTGTTTGTAAGTAGGATTTGATTCAATTTCTTTTTTAGGGTACACAAGCAAAAGACTCATCCATTTTCCCTTTTTAACACGGGCGCTTTTGTTAAGGTCATAAATTTTTGTAACTTTTTTTGTTTGGTTATGTTCAATATCAGTTAGGGTCAGTTTGCTCCTTTTAACAACGCAAGAGAGAGACAAGGGCATACATCATTGTTCAGAGCCTTGACAGTGCCTGCTCTCACAAACAGAAGCATCTTATGGTATGTCAAGGACAGAGAAAGAAGGAACCCCAGACAAAAAAGCTTTATATGACCTTTCTATGTTCATTGTCCTCAAGTAACCCCAGGAAACCAACTCTCCCCATACAGTGTCTCTCATAGTGTTGCC